CCTCTGGGGCCGTCTTGGGGCCCTCTTGGGCCGTCTTGGGCCCGTCTTGGGGGCCTCCTGGGCCGTCTTGGGGCGATCTTGGGGCCTCTTGGGCCGTCTTGGAGCGTCGGGAAGCCGAAAACGAGAAAACCTTAAGGATTTTGACACAAATTATAGAAAAGCAAACATGTTTGCCTCTTCGGGCCCTCTTGGGAGGCCTCTTGGAGGCCTCTTGGGGCGTCTTGGAGGCATCTTCGGCCGTCCGGGGGCCATCTTGAGAGCGATCTTTCGGCGTCTTTGAGCCCTCTGGTGGCACCGTCGCGTCTCCCCGCGTGCCTCTGAAGGCCCGGTCACCCGGTCACCCGGTCAACCAGTCAGCCGGTCAACCGGTCAGCCGGTCACCCGGTCACCCGCGGTCACCCGGACACCCGGTCACCCGGTCACCCAGTCCACCGGTCAGCTGGTCACCCGGTCACCCGGTCAGCCGGTCATACGGTCAGCCGGTCAACCGGTCCGCAGGTCAGCTTGTCAGCTGGTCATGTGGTCAGCGAGTCGACCGGTCAGCCGGTCACCCGGTCAGCCGGTCAACCGGTCAGCCGGTCAACCGGTCAGCCGGTCAGCCGGTCAGCCGGTCAGCCGGTCCACCGGTCAGCCGGTCAGCCGGTCAGCCGGTCAGCCGGTCAGCCGGTCAGCCGGTCAACCGGTCAACCGGTCAACCGGTCAACCTGGTCAGCCGGTCAGCAGGTCAGCCGGTCAACCGGTCAGCCGGTCAGCCGGTCAGCCGGTCAACCGGTCAGCTGGTCAGCGCCTTCATCAGCTTCTTCACGCGGCCAGCCGGTCAGCCGGTCAGCCGGTCAGCCGGTCAACCGGTCAACCGGTCAGCCGGTCAGCCGCGACCGGTCGACCAGTCAGCCGGTCAACCGGTCCGCAGGTCAGCGTGTCAGCTGGTCATGTGGTCAGCGGTCGACCGGTCAGCCGGTCGCCCGGTCAGCCGGTCAACAGGTCAGCCGGTCAACCGCTCAGCCTGTCAGCCAATCAGCCGGTCAGCCGGTCGACCGGTCAGCCGGTCAACTGGTCAGCCAGTCAGCCAGTTAGCCGGTCAGCCAGTCAGCCGGTCAGCCGGTCAGCCGGTCAGCCAGTCCACCGGTCAGCCGGTCAGTCGGTCAGCCCGTCAGCCGGTCAGCCGGTCAGCCGGTCAGCCGGTCAACCGGTCAACCGGTCAACCGGTCAACCTGGTCAGCCCGTCAGCAGGTCAGCTGGTCAACCGGTCAGCCGGTCAGCCGGTCAGCCGGTCAACCGGTCAGCTGGTCAGCGCCTTCATCAGCTTCTTCACGCGGCCAGCCGGTCAGCCGGTCAACCGGTCAGCCGGTCAACCGGTCAACCGGTCAGCCGGTCAGCGCGACCAGTCGACCGGTCAGCCGGTCAACCGGTCCGCAGGTCAGCTTGTCAGCTGGTCATGTGGTCAGCGGTCGACCGGTCAGCCGGTCGCCCGGTCAGCCGGTCAACCGGTCAGCCGGTCAACCGGTCAACCGGTCAGCCGGTCAGCCAATCAGCCGGTCAGCCGGTCGACCGGTCAGCCGGTCAACCGGTCAGCCGGTCAGCCATGGTCAGCCGGTCAGCCGGTCAGCCGGTCAGCCGGTCAGCCAGTTCACCGGTCAGCCGGTCAGCTGGTCAGCCGGTCAGCCGGTCAGCCGGTCAGCTGGTCAGCCGGTCAACCGGTCATTCGGTCAACCGGTCAACCTGGTCAGCCGGTCAGCAGGTCAGCCAGTCAACCGGTCAGCCGGTCAGCCGGTCAGCCGGTCAACCGGTCAGCTGGTCAGCGCCTTCATCAGCTTCTTCACGCGGCCAGCCGGTCAGCCGGTCAGCCGGTCAGCCGGTCAACCGGTCAACTGGTCAGCCGGTCAGCCGCGACCGGTCGACCGGTCAGCCGGTCAACCGGTCCGCAGGTCAGCTTGTCAGCTGGTCATGTGGTCACCGGTCGACCGGTCAGCCGGTCGCCCGGTCAGCCGGTCAACCAGTCAGCCGGTCAACCGTTCAACCGGTCAGCCGGTCTGCCAATCAGCCGGTCAGCCGGTCGACCGGTCAGCCGGTCAACCGGTCAGCTGGTCAGCCAGTTAGCCGGTCAGCCGGTCAGCCGGTCAACCGGTCAACCGGTCAGCCGGTCAGCCGGTCAACCGGTCAGCCGGTCAATTTGCACAACTATTCCACCATCGCCGAAGCGGCGTGAAGCTCCCCACATGGAGGCGGCGCCGCCTGGCGGGCGCTGCCGCGTGGGCCTTCGGCGAAGCTCCATACGGGGCCACGAAGCGTGTGATGGGGTGTGCCCAAATGGAGGCGGCGCTGGGGCCCTCGGTGAAACTCCCTGCCGTATGGGGCCACGTGGCGCGTGAATGATGTGCTAAAATGGGGGATGCTGCCGCCATGCCGACGCTGCCGCATGGGGCTGCGAAGCGTGCGAGGGGTGTGCCAACAGGGGGCGGCGCAGCCATGCGTGCGCTGCCACGTGGACCTTCCGTGGAGCTCCCGATGGGGCTGCGAAGCGTGTGCGGGGTGTGCCGAAATGTCAGGGACGGGAGGAGGAAGGAAGGGAAGGAGGAAAGTGATGTGGGACGCGGGGCGTAGTATTTTCATAACGGGGGCCCAACAACACATGATGGTTGGGAATCAATTGTATATCTGCATCTGGAGGCCTTCATTGGGGTTTTCTTGGAGCCTTCTTGGGGCGCCTTGGCGGCGTCGTGGCCCATATAGGAGCCGTCTTGGGCCGTCTGGAGCCGATCTTGGGAAAAGTTGGGGCCGTTTGGACCGCCAATAAGCGTCCACGAGAATTCGGGTGCTCGGGGGTCTCGCCGTGACTCGCGCTCCTGGCCTCCCTAAGAACTTTCTCTGCGCCTGCAGATTAGCCTGCGAAGAGCAATTGGTGTTTGGCCAGCCCCCTGGCCCTCCATTTCAATGTTGATCGCGCGACCGCCGAGTGTCGGACAAACCATCGGCACCGCATTGAACGTTGAAATCGGGGGGGAATGCGTACAAAAACACCAGTTGCTTTTCGCACGGGGGGTATCTCAAGCCTTCTATTCTTCTTCACCTCGCCAATCTCTCAGGAACCCAACACGGCCAGGACCCGCAGGGGGCCCGCCCCGCATTGAGCCCGCAGAGGACAAATCACGGCGGGCCTTCAGGGAATCCTGGCACGTAAAACGTTTGCAGCTTCGGATGCATGGCCTCGATTCGCGCGTGGCCGAGCACTCGGGCCTGTCTTGGCGCCTTTTGAGTCTTTCGCGGCGCGCTCTGGGGCGCTCTCATTGAAGAGCAAACAATGACATAAACATGATTTCGCGGAGGTCCGCGCGGATTTCGCGGATCAGCGTTGGAGCCCTTTGGCGGCGCTTCTGACACCGCCCATGGCGCGCTCCGCGTGCCAGGAAGGGGGAACCAGCACCGATCCAAGAAATCCGCGCGGACCTCCGAAAGTTGCTGCTTATTCCATTGCCTGCTCCCCGATCTCAGGCTCATGGGAAAGACTGTACCAGCAGAGTGGTGCAAAGTTCTGGCTCGTGAAGTACAGTCAGCCCGCGTAGTAAGGATGAGCGACTTTCCAAGGTTACCCTTGCATCCTTCCCCTTCGGCCCGTCCTTGGCCGCTTCCGCTAGCCGCGCCCCTCTCGCAAAATGTCGGCATGGCCTTCCACGGCAGTTGCATCCTTATCTTGCGTCCTTATGATGCGGGTTGATTGTAATCACGTGCTACGGCACCTGAGTTTCGGCGCTCTGGTGCCCCCCCCGCTTAGCTCTTGGAGGGCCGCCCTCCCCCTGAGGCGTACATCGGCGCCTGTCCTGTCCTAGGGGAGGAGGGGGAGGGGAGGGGGAGGAGGAGCAGAAGCAGGAGGAGGAGGAGGAGGAGGAGGAGGCGAGGAGGAGGAGGAGGAGAGGAGGAGGAGGAAGAGGAGGAGCAGAAATAAGAAGAGGAGGAGGACGACGAGGAGGACGAGGACGAAGGAGGGGGTGATGATGATGATGAGATGATGATGATGATGAGGAGGAGGAGGAGGAGGGAGGAGGAGGAGGAGGAGGAGGAGGAGGGAGGGGAGGCGGAGGAGGAGGAGGAAGGAGGAGGAGGCGGAGGAGGAGGAGGCGGGAGGAGGAGGAGGGAGGAGGAGGAGGAGGCGGAGGAGGCGTGGCGGCGGCGGCGGCGGCGGCGGTGGCGGAGGAGGAGGAGGAGGAGGAGGAGGAGGAGGAGGAGGAGGAGGAGGAGGTGACCATTCATCCCGCAATTCTGTCCGAGGACCCTGGTCCCCCTCCTCTCCTTTGCGGCCGCTCCTCCCCGCCACTTCGTCCTCTTGCAGCTGGAAAGTTCATGTGCCGAGCGCCCCTGGCAACTCGAGCGCGCGAGCGGATTGCCTCTGCCGCTCTTCCTCCTCCTTCTCCTCCTGCTCCTCATCATCCTCCTCCTCCACCTTCTCCTCCTCCTCCTGTCCTCCCGCCCGTCCTGTCCTGTCTGGGACGCGGGGCTCTGGCATCTCCGTGGGCCGTTTTGTTTTTAGGAACCCGTCACGGGCTTCCATGGATGTTCAGAAGCTCCGGGACCTCCCAGGAGTCCAGGAAGCTTGCAGCAGCTTGCAGGAGCCTCGGCAAGGCCTCCGGAGGCTTCGTCGGGGAGGGCGATGGAGATGGACGATGAATGTCTTTGTGGGACAACGTGGGACCAGAATGCAGCAGCGAGCAGACCATAGCAGATTGCATAGATGGCATTGCAAGCCCTTGTTTCATGCCCCCTGGGGATCTGCTAGTCGTCGTGACTGGACAAGGCTAGAACATTTTGCCTGAACGTTGCCCATCAGGAGTTTTGGGTCGAGTTTTGGTTGGGTTCCGGGATCCAAGGGTATACTCCGTTGTTCTGAGGTGCGTGCGAAGAGTAGTGAGTACTACAAAGCAGGCTCCGTAGCTGGTTCGGCTCAAGTGCTGTCTTGGGCAGCCCAGTGCGTCTTCCATGTTGCCTGCTGTCGCACAGGTTGGGGCTGAATGAGCCCGTTCTTCCAGTGGGCATGGTCCAGACTCGTCGATGATGACAGCGAGTTCGACGAAGACGCTGTGGCCAGAGACACGGAGGAGAAAGACGGGCACGACGGCGCCAGCGTCCCGTCCAAGAGGAAAGCCAGGAACAGGAAAACCGTGGGCGTCACAAGCACGCTCATCTACGTGGACGGCCTCTGCTGCCCGTCCGAAGTGCCGGTAATAGATCGCATCTTGAGCCCTCTAGCGGGCGTCCAAGAAGTGGGCATAAACCCCGCCACTAAGACAGCTACGGTAAGGCACGACGCCAGGGTGGTGGGCGGGACCGAGCTGGTTGCCGCGCTCAACCGGGCTGCCCTGGGGGCGCGCGTGCAGAAGCTGGAGAGAGGGGCGCCCGTGAAGCGCATCCCCGCGCGCCTCTTGGCCGCAGCGGCGCTGCTGGCGGTGTCTGTGGCGGGCTACCTTTTGAATTCATGGAGCGTGCACAGGTCGGCCAGAAAACAAACGACACCACCCCACCTACGGCCCTCCAGCCCATCGGGGGCCGTAGCGCATCCCATGCAAAAACCCACGCCAGATGTCCTGGTATACGCTACGGCCCGTGGGGCCGTAGGTGGGGTGGTGCCGTTTGTTTTCTGGTCCAGCAGGGTCAGCGCGGTGCTGTCGCTGCTGCTCACCTCCCCGAAGGTCCTGGTTCGTGCGGCCTCTGGAGTCACACGCTGCCACCTGGACATAAACACCCTCGTCCTGATGGCCTGCCTTGGCGCCCTGGCGCTGGAAAACTTCTGCGAGGCAGCCACCGTTCTGGTCCTCTTCTCCACGGCGGATTTCCTCGAGTCCCGCATCACGCTGCGCGCGCGCGGGGTCATAGCGGAGATCTTGGCCCTCCGCCCCGAGGAGGCGGAGCTCTCCAGCGGCGAGCGCGTGGCGGCCTCCGATCTGGCCGTGGGCGCTTCCGTCGTGGTGAGGCAGGGCGACTCGATCCCCGTGGATGGCGTGGTGACAGCAGGGGCACTGTTGGTGGACGAGAGTGCTCTGTCAGGCGAGTCCGCGCCTGTTCCCAAGGCCGTCGGCTCCAAGGTGTGGGCCGGGACCACAAACCTCAGCGGCTACGCCGAGGTGGAGACAACAGCACAGGGCAAGGATTCGGCCGTGGGTCAGCTCGTGAAGATGGTCGAGGGCGCCCAGGCGTTGCGCTCCAACACGGAGCAGACCGTCGAGAGATTCGCCCGGCTGTACACCCCGTGCATTTTGACCGTTGCTTTTTTTCTGATGATCGCCCCATGGTTTGTGGCTCGCGAGCGTGCGCCCGAGTGTTTCTACATGACCCTCGTCCTGCTGGTCGTCGCGTGCCCTTGTGCGATGGTGATCTCCACGCCAGTCACCTACATGAGCGGGATCGCATGTGCAGCGACACATAACATGCTCGTTCGTGGAGGGGTACATCTGGAAACCCTGGGTGCTGTTAGGATGGCGGCTCTGGACAAGACGGGCACACTCACAGAGGGCTGCTTCCGGGTGCGGGAATTCCAGATGGTGAGCCCCGATGCAGCGGGCAAGGGCGAGGATATCTTGTGGCGCTGGATCGCGGCCATCGAGGCGCGCTCGAGCCACCCTCTGGCGCTCGCGCTCGTGACGGAGGCGAAGCGGCGCGACGCAGCACAGCTGCCCACAGACGTGGCCGACTATCGCGAGGTCCATGGAGAAGGCGTCCGAGCCACTGTGGAGGGGGTCTGCGTCTCCATCGGGAACGAGCGGCTAGCTGCTCGGATGGGCTGGTCGACAGAGCTCCATGTGGACAGGTGGGCCGAGGAGGGCGGATCGGTCCTCTGGGTCGGCGACGACCAGAGGCTGCTCGCGGTGCTCAGCGTGGCAGATGTCCCGCGACCAGAGGCCAAGGATGCCATCGCCGAGATCAAGAGCATGGGCATTGCCGTGTCGATGCTCACTGGAGACGGCCGAGGTGCCGCGAAAGCCGTGGGCGAGAGCACCGGCATTGTCGACATCAGATCGGGCCTGAGGCCCGATGACAAGATCGCCGAGGTGTTGGATTTGTGCAAGAGCTACCAGACGGTCTCCATGGTGGGAGACGGCATCAACGATGTCCCCGCTTTGGCGGCGTCCCACGTGGGCGTGGCCATGGGGGCGGCTGGCCGGGCGGCAGCGCTGGAGGCGGCGGACATTGTCCTGATGGACTCGAACCTCATGCGCTTGGCCTTCGCGTTCCGCCTCGGCAGGTGCGTGCTGCGTAAGGTCCGACAGAACATAGCGTTCGCGCTGGCCAGCAAGGTCGTATTCGTGGCCTTCACCTTCTTAGGCCATACGTCCCTCCTGGGTGCCATACTGGTCGACCTGGGATCCATGCTGCTGGTGATGCTCAACGGCTCGTCCGTGATGCTCATGGGTCGCGAGCGTCAGCGCACTGGCGTCCACGCGGAGGCCAGCCTCGTGGCCTCGAGCGCAAAGGCTCCCGAGGCCACGACACCGCCGCCTCGGCCTCAGGGCGCCGCCCCCTGGGCTGGCGGGCCTGGCGCTGTCCCGCCAGTGCCGCAGGCCAGGGCTGGACCTAAACGCTGTTCTGCTGGACTTCGGCTGTGCTTTGTCGTTCGCTCTGGCCGGGAGGCACAGGAGAACAGGCACAGAGCACAACGAACAACGAACAGCGCAAACGAAACGCAAAACAGCGCTTGGGGTCCAGCCCTGCCGCAGGCCGTCTGCACGGACCCACGCTGCTGCCCCGTGGCGCAGGGCCCGCTGCTCGCCGGCCTCGGCGGCGCGGCGCCGGCGCCGCCGCCGGCCGCGGGGGGCGCCTTCTGCGCGGCCTTCGGCGGAGCCCCGCGCGGCCGCCGGGGGCGCGGGAGGCCGCTGCCGCGCGCCCTCGGCAGGCCCGCCGCGGCAGCGCCAGCGGGCGAGGGGGGCGACCTCGAGAAGGGCGTCTGACTGTCCTGCAGAAGGCATCCGTGTAGCGGCCACGCGCAGAGGGGGTAGGGTTAAGTCGGGCGTGTCTCTCTACAGGGGGAATACTCAAAAACAGTAAAATCAGCCTGGCGAAGGACCCAACCATATGCAGTTGTGAGTAATGCTGGTGTGAGTACCGTCTTCGGTGGATCTCCCTATGGGGCCACGAACCGTTTGAGGGGTGTGCCGAAATGGGTGTGGGGGCGGCATGCGAACGTTGCCACTGGGGCCTTCGGTGGAGCTCCTTATGGGGCCACGAAACGTGTGAGGGGTGCACCGAAGTTGGTGTGGGGGCGGCATGCGAACGCAGCCACTGGGGCCTTCGGTGGAGCTCCCTGTGGGGCCACGAAACGTGTGAGGGGTGTGCCGAAATTGGTGTGGGGGCGGCATGCGAACGCAGCCACTGGGGCCTTCGGTGGAGCTCCCTGTGGGGCCACGAAACGTGTGAGGGGTGTGCCGAAATGGGTGTGGGGGCGCATGCGAACCCAGCCACTGGGGCCTTCGGTGGAGCTCCATATGGGGCCACGAAACGTGTGAGGGGTGTGCCGAAATGGGTGTGGGGGGCGCATGCGAACCCAGTCACTGGGGCCTTCAGTGGAAATCCCCATGGGGCCACGAAACGTGTGATGGATGTGCCGAAATGGGTGTGGGGGGCATGCGGCCACTGGGGCCTTCGGTGGGATGGGGCCACGAAACGTGTGAGGGGTGTGCCGAAATGGGTGGTGGGGAACCAGGCCACTGGGGCCTTCGGTGGAGCTCCCTATGGGGCCACGAAACGTGTGAGGGGTGTGCCGAAATGGGTGGTGGGGAGGCATGCGAACCCTGCCACTGGGGCCTTCGGTGGAGCTCCCTGTGGGGCCACGAAACGTGTGAGGGGTGTGCCGAAATGGGTGTGGGGGAGGCATGCGAACCCTGCCACTGGGGCCTTCGGTGGAGCTCCCTATGGGGCCACGAAACGTGTGAGGGGTGTGCCGAAATGGGTGGTGGGGAGGCATGCGAACGCAGCCACTGGGGCCTTCGGTGGAGCTCCCTATGGGGCCACGGAACGTGTGATGGGGTGTGCCGAAATGGGTGGTGGGGAGGCATGCGGAGACTGCCAGTGCCACTGGTGCTGGTGGTGGAGCTCCCTATGGGGCCACGAAACGTGTGTGGGGTGTGCCGACATGGGTGGTGGGGAGGCATGCGGACCCTGCCACTGGGGCCTTCGGTGGAGCTCCCTATGGGGCCACGAAACGTGTGAGGGGTGTGCCGAAATGGGTGGTGGGAGGCATGCGAACGCAGCCACTGGGGCCTTCGGTGGAGCTCCCTATGGGGCCACGAAACGTGTGAGGGGTGTGCCGAATGGGATGTGCGGGACGCATGCGGACGGCGGCACTGGGGCCTTCGGTGAGCTCCCTATGGGGCCACGAAACGTGTGAGGGGTGCGCCGAAAAGGGTGTGGGGAAGTCATGGTGCGGTCCCTGCCCACTGGAGCCTTCGGTGAGCTCCCTATGGGGCCGGCACGAAACTGTGGAGGGTGGCCGAAAGGGTGGTGGGGAGGCCATGCGGACCTCTGCCGACTGGGGCGATCGTGGAGCCTCCCCATGGGCACGAAACGTGTTAGGGATGTGCCGAAATGTTGATGTGAGGCATGCGGACCCTGCCACTGGGGCCTTTCTCGTGAGCTCCCCAATGGGGGGCCACGAAACGTTAGAGCGGTTGCCGAAATCGGGGTGTGGTGATGAAGATGATGATATATTGAAGATGATGAAGGATGATTGTGATGATGATGATGATGGTTGATGGTGATGGTGATGGTGAGTGATGATGATGATTAAGATGATGATATGATATAGATGATGATGATGATGATGATGATGATGATGATGATGATGATGATGATGATGATGATGATGATGATGATGATGATGATGATGATGATGATGATGATGGGAGGAGGGAGGGGGGGGGAGGAGGAGGAGGTGAGGAACGCTGGGCGCCGTCTCTTCAAAACGAGGACCCAACACCACAGGATGGTTGGGAATAATAGTCTGGGAACGTTTTTTTTGTATGTTTCAACTACTTTTGAAAATGTTTGGAATATTTTTTAGTTTGTCCTCCCAAATCCACCTGTAGGGACACGCCCGACCTGAGGGTAGGGGGAGGGGGGAAGGCTCTCTAGAAGCACCCCTGCTTGTTGGAAGGCGTGGGCCTTCTCTGCAGATGTAGGGCCGGCGTCTTCTAAGAAGCAGGGTGCTCCTAAGAAGCCCTCCCCCCTCCCCCATACCCCCTTGTGCGCGCCGCCAAGTCTGCCACCACAGTTCCCGACGTGGGCCATCCTGGACCCCACGATGGTGCATAGGCTTTTCTGGCCTCGACCAGGGGGCGTATACGTCATGCCAGGGCCGAGGATGGCCTTAGCCAGGCACACACATGCATACATACATACATGCATTCATGCATGCATACATGCACACATACATGCACACATACATACATACATACATACAGACAGACAGACAGAGACAGACAGACATTCATTCATACACACATGCATAGGGCCGTACGGGCCTAACGGGTGGCGTCGTTTCCCTGATTTGCTTTTCTTACGCACCACAGCAGAGACAATCCAGTGTCACGAATTCGTGAATTGCGATCTCTCCTCGATCCACATGGAGTCGCGCCCCTGCCCCCGCAAGCAAAGTCCACAATCACCCTTGCGTCGCGGGATCACAGGCCGATGGGCTTCCCGCTCACATGCCGAAAAACTGACATGATGGAAGCCATGTCCCCCCATGGATTCCTGGAACCTTCCAAAAAACCCTTCCACAAACCCTCCTCGCGAAGAATCAAGGATTCCTGGAACCTTTCAAAGAAAAACATTCCCAACGGATTCCTATTGAAAGCCTCTACACAAGGATTCCCATTGAACGCCTCTACAAAAGGATTCCCAGTGAAAGCCAGTACAAACATGATTCCGATTGAAAGCTAAAACAAACAGATTCCTGTTGAGAGCCTGTACAAAAGGATTCCTATTGAGAGCCTCGACAGAAGGATTCTTTTTGAGGGCCTCCACGAAAGGATTCCTATTGAAATCCTTAACACAAGGATTCCGATTGAAAGCCTCTACAAAAGGATTCCTATTGCAAGCTTCTACAGAAAGGATTCAAAATGAGATCCTCTACAGAAGAATTCCGATCGAAATCCTTTACGGAAGGATTCAGATTGAAAACCTCCAGAAAAGGATTCCTGATGGAAGCCAATACAAAAGATTTCCTACTGAGAGCTTCTACAAAAGGATTCATATTGAAAGCCGATACAGAAGGATTCCTATTGATACCCAATACAAAAGGACTCTTATTGAGAGCCTGTGCAAACGGATTCCATTGAGAGCCTCCACATAAGGATTCCTTTTGAGAGCCTCTACACAATGATTTCGATTGAGAGCCTCTACACAAGGATTCCGATTGAAAGCCTCTACAAAAGGATTCCGATTGCCAGCCTCTACAAACAGATTCCGAATGAAAGCTTGTGCACGAGGATTGCTATTGAAAGCCAATGCAGAAGGATTCCTATTGAGAGCCTCCACACAAGGATTCCTATTGAGAGCCTCTACAAAAGAATCCGATTGAGAGCCTCGACAAAAGGATTCTTAGTGAAAGCCATTAAAAAAAGGACTCCTATTGAAAGTTAATACACAAGGTTTCATATTGAAAACCTCTACACAATGATTCCGATTGAGAGCCTCCACGAAAGGATTCCTATGGAGAGCCTCTACAACAGGATTCCTGTTGAGAGCCTCTACAAAAGGATTTCGATTGAAAGCCTCTACACAAGGATTCCCAATGAGAGCCTCCTACAGAAGGATTCCCATTGAAATCCTTTACAAAAGGATTCAGATTGACAGCCCCTACGAAAGGTCTCCTATTGGAAGCCAATACAACAAGTTCGTATTGAGAGCCTCTACACAAGGATTCATATAGGAAGCCAATACAAAAGGATTGCTATTGAGAGCATGTGCGACATAATTTTTCTCTTGAGAGCCTTCACACAAGGATTCCTGCTGAGAGCCTATGCAAAAAGATTCCGCTTGATAGCCTCTGGAAAAGGATTCCGCTTGAAAGCCTCTACACAAGGATTCTGATTGAGAGCGTCTACAAAAGGATTCCGCTTGAAACCTCTACAAAAGGACTTCCAACAAAAACCTTCCCAGCAAATGAAATCTGAAGTCCTTGCACCTGACTTGGACACCAAAAAAGTGTCCTCCCTCCTCCTTCCTCCGCCTCCTCCTCTTCCGCCTCCTTCTCTTCCTCCTCCTCCTCATTATCCTTCATCCTCCTCCTCCTCCCCTTCCCCCCACCCCCCCTTCTGAAGGAATGCAAGAACTTTGGGGAAACCATTGTAACAACTAAAAACCAAAGAAACTGAAGTGCTTGAAGCGAAAACTTTAGGAAAACCATTGGAGAACAAAAACCAAACACCAAAAAAAACAATGGTTCCACAGAGACTGCGGGGTTCCCCTTCGGGCTTATCCCTTCGGACGGTGTTCCCTGGATCTGTTCCAATGGTTTCCCTAAAGTTTTCGCTTCCGGCATTTGGGTGTTTTGTTTTTTTGTTTTGTTGTCCAATGGTTTTCCCTAAGTTTGTGGTGTTTCCCACCGCCAACATACGGAATGAATGTGTATCTCGCCCACACGACGACGAGGACGACGAGGACGAGGATGACGAGGAAGAGGACGAGGACACGAGAGAGAGAAGAGCACAAGGGAACGCGCACAACAGCAAAGCACAACAGCAAAATACAACATAACATCATACACCTCGCACTTTCGACACGCCCCCCGTTAGGCCCGTAACCAATACATACAGACATACATGTAGATATACACACATATATATACATATTCATAATCATATATGTTTATAGAGCTGGGGGCGCTGGACAAAAACCTCCACGCACACGCACACTCACACGCGCACGCGCACACACAGACAGACACACA